TAGGGATGCAATGACATTTCGGTGGCCGAAACGTGTCGGCCGAATACACCCCATCGAAAATGGGAAAATAGGCACCAATACAGATGCCGAAAATAACCTCACTGCCGAAACCCGCCATCACTCTGTTCTCAGCCTTACTGGAGAAATCATCGAATGCTGGGCATTGAGATAGGTGAAGGAAAGGATGCCTCCACTAATCTCTATGCCCTTGGAGGACCGGAACAACGTCACTATATCATTTCCAGTTCCGGCGCCTTGTAAACAAGGCATTTTTTGTTTTGTTTTTTAAGCACTAGATCACTGCTTTTTTTGTTCTAATGCTTTACATTGTAGAGAGATGTGGGGTCTTAATAACCCCCATATCTCTCCATAAAGAGGACCTGTCACTACTTATTTCTATCACAAGAGATGCATGCATTCCCTGTGTTAGTGAAAAAAAAATGTAATCACTTTTTTTCCCTAAGGGACAGTGTTCACACATGTAGGCCACGCCCACATATGTAAACGGTATTCAAACGGCATGTGAAGTATCGCCACGAACGTCGGAGCAAGAGCAATAATTCTAGCACTAGACCTCCTCTGTAACTTTAAACTGGTAACCTGTAGAAATGTTAAAGCTTCATCATTAAAATGTTTGGGGTTTTTTGTTATTTTTTTAAATTACATTTGAAAAATATATTAATTTTTAAAAACTTTCCATTTCGGTTTCAGTTTCGGTTTTCGGCCAAGTGCATCCTGAATTTTTGGTTTCGGCACCAGAATTTTCATTTCGGGGCACCAATAAGTGTGCACAACCATGGGAATTTACAAGTGAAGATTCAAATGTTTGCACAAGCCTTATTCACTTGAGGCAATGATAGTCCCATAAGCCTTATGGTGCCCCTCCCCCTTCTTAAATGCATTAAAAAAAAGACAGCAGAACAGATTTATCCATCTGCACATATCCTTATTCTTAAAAAATAAATAAATGGGATAAAATTGTATTTTTGTCATTTCAGGGAACATGTCCTCAATGAACACCCCTTTGAATAATCATCAGCTGTCTCACCTTCAGTCACTTCTAAACAGCAGTCAACAACAACAGCAGCAGCTCTTACAAGGCTTTTCCAATCTACATGCCTTGAAAGGACATGTGCCAGGGCCACCAAACAGTCTAAACCCCATGGCCTGTTTGTTCCAAAACTTCCAGGTAATTATAATAGTCGTGACACCTACAATATAGTATTAAGAAAGGCTAAATGTATTATGTAACGGTAGCTTAAAGTGAAAGGTGATAATTTCCTGGTTTTATGTTATTATACTTTTTCCTACCATGCACTAAAGCTTATCTCTTTTATGCTTTAACAGTTTTTCTTGGGGGAGGGAGGGAAGGTATATGTAAACTTTAACAATGAACTTCTCTTATTTGCTCTATTGTGGCCATTGAAAGCATTTAGTTATCTGTTTTGAAGAGTGCAAAAAAAAAAAAAATCATGTTGATCCTGGCAGAAGTCCAGTGAGCTTGTAATTTCCTGTAGTGAGATGGCAACACAATACCTCTGCTGCATTGAGATGTCAAGACATTTCGGCCATGCCCAAGCAACGTCTGTGAACTAGAACCCCTCCATCTATGTTATGAAGATTAAGGGATCTGTAATCCAAATCAGGAATGACAACACTGCTCCCCTGTAGATACAGTACAGTAACTGAGCGTTGCCTTTCTAAGACAAGGAAAACTAAAGGAAACAAATGCAGCCTCCTCATCTAAAGACTTTTACATTTTGTCCCTGGGTTTACACTTAAAAAAAAAAAACTATCATTACAATTTTTCACACTGTTCTAACCACCAAAGTTCATGTAGTACTTTGTCCCATGTAGCAAGGTGCTTCCTAAGTCTAGTTATGAAATTCAAACATAATAGTTCAACTTTACACATACAGTATAAAAACAGACACTGGGAGGTATAGAGAAGCTGACCGTGAAAACCAACCTTTAAAGGTGCTGTTTTTGCATATTAGCTTCTCTTTTTAAGCCTTGTACTCAGCATTAGTTTACTTATAGTAAATCAAAGATCACTGAACATTCAGTTCTCTCAGTGGTTCTGAGCAGAGAGCTGGTGCCTGTCAGCTACTTCTGTCTGCTCTCAACCCTCCACTCGCTCATTGGAGCGCTGGGCTGTGGAGGTGGGGGGGGAGCGGCTGGCTCAGGCTCTCTGCGGATCACTGAGAGGCTCAGCCAGGTGCTGGTCCAGGCTCCTGGGTGGATCCTGACCATATAGTTGGGATCTTTCCCCAGCCCAGATTGGCTGTGTGATGGCTGAAAACAGCTCACAGGAGTGCAGAACAAATTGTGGCTGTTCTTCTTTAACCACTTGTCATATGATGTCCTTCCCAGATCGCGCTTTGCACATGCCCACAGAGCTGCGCTGTGGCGAGATCTGTCACCAGCCGTGAACCTCAAACACAGCTGATGATAGATCTGTGTACCGGCCCCATTGCCAGTACTATGTGACCTGCTGTGACCAATCACAGCAGGTCACATGACCGTTGTAGACAATGGATGGCTTCCTTTCATGCCATCCATTGTATACAAGTGTGTCTAGCTGTGAATGGTCACAGCAATCACTTGCACAGGTTGGGCCAATCACAGCCCATCTGTGTCATGTGATTAGCCGTGGCCAACCACAGCTAATCACAAACAAAAAAACATCTGAATGAATCGATTTCATTCAGTTAAATGCTTGCTGTGTAAATGAAATTGTGTAAAAAAAAAAATACTGATCACTTCCCCAAAGTATTATAATGTTCCTATGGTAACCTTATACTACTTTGGTCATAGTGTAATATGAAAGAAATCTTAAAAAAAGAGAAAAATGTAATAAAAAATAAATATTAAAAAATATATATATCGTACTGTCACCAGTCAGTGTCCCGGATCACTGCCACACCAGTTATATGCTGACATTGTACTGCACTGGTGATAATATATAACAAAAAAATTATGAAAATAATTTTCTTAATTTCTTCATTTTCCAAAAAATTATGATGACAAAAAATTACAACTTCAAAAAACTCGCCATGCCTCTTATGAAATACGTCGGTCTACCTACTTTGCAAAAAGTGGTCTTTTGGGGGATATCTGTACTGTTCTAACATTTTTGGGCCTCAAAAAATTAGATTGGCCGTCAGTACTTAAGGACTGATCAATTTTCAGATATATCCCATAGTTTGTGAACTCTAACTTTCCTACAGACTAAATAATAAACACTGATTTGGGTTATTTTCACCAAAGAAATGTAGCAGAATACATCTTGGTCTAAATTCATGAAGAACAATTATTTATTTGCAAACTTTTATAACGGAAACATTTTCATTCTTTTTTTTGTTAATTTAGCAAAAAATAAAAACCCCTGTGGTGTATAAATACCACCAAAAGAAAGCTGTAGTTGTGTGAAAAAAATGATAAAATTTTAGTTTGGGTACAGTGCTGCATGACCACGCAATTGTCATTCAAATTGTGGGAGCGCTGAAACCTGAAAATTGGCCTGGGCAGGAAGGGGGTAAAAGTGCCTGGTATTGAAGTGGTTAAAGGGGTATTCTTATTTTTGTTTAATAAGTTCAAAAATACCTGTTGATTAGGTCAGAAATTCAGAGCTGTCCTGTGTCCAGGAGTGCAGTTAGCACTCTTAGTCTTTATCTTGAGAATACAGAATGATTAGCCTTTATTTTGTGGAGCTGAAAGAGTAGGGTGGTCTGAATAGTTTGCCAAGAGAAAACTGATCAGTGCTGGCAATGCTCAGTCCACAAAAGTGCTGAGTGTTGCCGACCCAACAGGACTTAGTAGTTGAGTGTATTTCTAGTAGATATAGGTATTTTTCTGTACTTGCAGTGTCACTAAAGGGCTTAAATATGGGCAAATGTGCATGCATGGCAGAGATGTACTGCATACAGCTTTTTTTTTTGTCCTAAGATTAACTAATTTAACTCTTCTTTTTAGCAGACACCCTAAGGTTCCATCTTGATCCACTCTCTTGTGCTTGAAAAATGCACATACCAACCTTTTCTACCTGAAATGGTATAAGAATGCTTCTTACCCCCACATGGCATTGGCCTATTGTTTGACTGCTCAGGCATCAACCACTCAATTGTGGGAGGCAGAACAGATGGTCACATGTGGGCCCCGTAGCTGGAAGTAGTGGGGTTTTCTCAAGACTTCAGTAATGAGTTGGGGGGAGGGAGCAGAGAAAAGGTAAGAGCAGACATATTTGTTGTCTACTGCAAAACCCTAAGGGTTAGTTAGGTAATTTTGTACTGAGTACTGGTTTCCTTTGAGGGAAACCTGTCATCAGAGAAATACATTGCTTGCAAATAATGAACGCCTTCAGAAAATACTGATTGCCTGACTGTTTCTGGATTCAGTACTTTCCATCTCACTGATCTGGAACAAGAATGCCTCATGTCAAAATGAAGGCTTAACTCCTACATTTTTGTATGCTTGATCTAGGCCAATGACTCAGGAGGTATTGAAGCATGGCAGGCCTGCACTTTAGCATATTCAGATGCTAAGGTCAGTAATACTTGCCTACTACATGTCCCTCTGACGCTTGGTTTCCATCAAGATAGTCTGGAACGCTAAGTAATGCTTGTACAATTATCTCATTTAAATAGATGAAAATGCAAGAGAACAAAGAGGTCAGCACACAGATGGGAACATCTTCAATACCTGAAAACCCAAACTCATCACTTCCTCCATTTCCAGACAAACCTTGTAACATGCCTCATAGGACAGAACAGTACCTGAAAGATAATGTCCGAGAAGGAGACAGTTCAGTGGACGCCATCTATAAAGCTGTGGTTGACGCAGCCAGTAAAGGAATGCAAGTGGTCATCACAACAGCGGTGTCCAACACGACACAGATGAGCGCTATCCCAGCACTAAGTGCCATGAGTGCCTTCACTGCATCCATTGGTGACCCTTTAAACCTGTCAAGTGCGGTGAATGCCATCATCCATGGCAGAAACATGGCAAATTCTGATCTGGAGGTCAGGACACGGAATACAAGAGGTACCCGAATAAGGAAGAACATGGATCAGAACAAACACATGGCAGACGGGGATGGTTTTGATTATTTCAAAGCAGGATGCAATACTCCTAAAAGGCAGTGGAACGGCGGTCAAAGTCCGGGTGACATGAACAGGTGGAAATGTGAGGAGTTTTTGGACCACAGTGCACAGGTCCATGGCAACCCTTACCAAGTGAGGTCTGGCAATGTCTCTCTATTGCACTCCTTTGAAGACGAGCAGTGCCAGATCTTGCTACCGCCCAGGCACTGCCCGAGTGATAAGATGCTAGAGGAGAATTTCAGGTTCAATCATTACAAAAGGACTATGATGAGCTTCAAGGAAAGGTTGGAGAGCACGGTGGAACGTTGCGCACACATGAACGGTACGCGGCCCCCGCAGCACAGGGGCTTCGGAGAGCTCCTGAACATCCCCAAACAAGAGGTCAGCATGGAGGAACAGTCTCCTAGCTCTTCCAACAGTTTAGAAAGTTCTTTAGCAAGAGACTACATTCATTATAATGGAGACTTCCATGCCAAAGGCATGAACGGGTGCGTCCCTAGCCCTTCAGACACCAAGAGCATCAGTAGCGAGGATGACCTTCGGATTCCCGACTCCCCTTCTTCTAATGACTTAATGCATTATAGGCCAAGGACGTTCAATATGGGAGACTTGGTCTGGGGGCAGCTTAAAGGACTGGCTTCATGGCCTGGAAAACTAGTGCGGGACGACCTACGTAACCCATATCAGCAGAACTCAGAGGAAGGGAAGGTAAAACGCAATTTACTTGTTTCCTTTACGTACATAACTGCTTTATTAATTTTTTTTGTTCCCCCATGCACATGCTTACTTCAAAAACCATGCATTCTAGAACTAAATAATGTTTACAAAATAAATCCTCATTGAAGCAGAAATTCATATTTTTGCTGTTTTGGATTGAGTACGGAAGGGTTAAACCTTTTATGCTGCCATGTCTTCTTTAGCCTTCATTTGGCGAATAGAGATGGGCGAAATTATTTAAGCAAAATTAATTTTTTTTTTGTCCTCGCGGAAATGCTCAATTGCATTGTCTGAGCTGCTTAGGTGAAATTTACATAATTACACCTGAATTTTACTTTCACTGTTAACTCCAATGCATTTCCCTACAATGGTAACAATTTGCTGAAATCTTCTGATTTTTATGAAAGGTTTTGCAAATGAAAACTCAAGTTTGCTCCTCCCTCCTGGTGACATTGAGAGCATTGTTCTAAACTGAACTTCCTACTGTTCCTGTTTGGGGCATATTCTCCACATATTCTGATAAAGGATCCACCAGGGAACAAGTGATCCTGTTATCAGTACCTAGTGAGTCCTCCAAAAAGAATGTATGGAGAATGCACACCATAGAGAGGAGACAAGAAGTTCAGCTTGTTACAGCTGTCTTTCCCCCAGGGATGTGAGAGGACATCTCCCAACAAGATGCACAGTTCTGAGCTGGTTGCATCAATACCAGCAATCCTTTTGTGTTATACACGTGGGGCTTTATTGTGTCTTACATTCAGGGCCGGCGCTACCATCAGGCGAACTAGGCAGCCGCCTACAGCGCACTGCCGCCTATGGAGCGGCCATGACCACCATACCTGATGTCTGCTCAATGTAACAGTAAGCATTCATGTACCCAGACAATGAGTGAGTGGTTGTGTGTATAGAGTAGAGATGTGCAGGCACAGAAATGTGAGGAGTCTCGGATGAACAAAGCAGGCTGGGATTTCTGGATGACACTGCCTTTACTTGCAGGCTCAGGGCTCTCCTCCCATTCAGGTCCTCAACCCCAGAGATGGATGCTATGTCTGCAGATGACTCCACACTCTGCCGCCTGACTGATATATTGGAGGTCCCGCTGTGCCTTGGCTGAGAGGTGTGCCGCTGTATGCGCCTCTCACCACCGAGGTTTATGTTGTCCTGACAGAACGGTGCTCAGCACATGTGAATCCCTGCTGTTGGCAGAGAATGAACGGAGTTCGGTGGTGGTAGGAGAGCAGCTTTCCCCTTGTGTGACTCTGTCACTGGGCTGCAAGAGAGCCTGCTCCTCCCAGTGTCCCTGTTCCTTTCCCCGCTTGTCACTATACACGGGGGGCTGGCAGCTTTGTGTGAGCACAAGCAACAGACTACTGATATCTCCAGAAACCACTTTTGGTCCAAGGGTGTGTGGAACTTCTCTGGAAAGAGAATCACAGATTTTCCTGGGGATCCATACACATTTCCATTGGGGGACACTTTTCTGTTAACATGGTCCCTTTATAGTGGAATGAGGGTGCATTCACACAGGCGGACACGGTTTTACTGCCCTCCAATCGCCACCAAAACTAAGAAATGAAGCCGCTCAGGCATGTCATGTTTGGCAGGCAGTACTGCCATTGAACGCAACTTATTCAAGTGAATGGGGCTTTGCTGCAACTGCCCTGCAACAGTGTACAATGCATGCAGATGCAGCATGGTGCTTAAGCATTTTTGAGGGTTAGAGCAGGGAGTGAAGAGGGGACATATTACTCCCTATCCACATGTCAAATCACCTCTGAAAAGCAATCCAACACAGAAAACTCTTCAGAGGGTCATCAGTATATCCACAACTATGAATGAGCCCATATGAACTTAAAGGATAGGTTCACCATTCTAAAAAAAAAAACAATATATAATAATAAATGCACATCTTTTTGCAGGTAAAAAAAAATGTGTATTTATTTTTTCTAGGAGCCGACAAAGCATTGCACCAGCGATCAGCAGATCATGGGGCAATGCAGGGCTCCTGCAGAGTAATCCTGTAATCTTTGTCTGCATGCATTTACACAATGACCGCAAGAATCAATGAACTACTAGAGCGCAAATTAAAAAGAAATTTTGAAATGTCATGTTTTGTTGCTTTAATACTTTCTACTGTTTTTAAAAATGTTGAAGTTGCATTTTTTTGGGGGATGGGTGCAAGTAGCCTGTCTTGCCTAGGGCGGAGAATAGTCTAGCACCAGCCCTGATTACATTGTCTTTTTGACAAGCATAAGACCAAGTAATGTGGAAGCATAGAAGAGTTCAAGCTGTGCAGCAGGATGTGTTTAAGCCTAGTACATACGATGAGAAAATCGGACGAAAAATACAGTTTTCAAAGAGATCCTCTGATAATCTGATCGTTAGTACACAGCTTTCGAGAACAGATCACGACAGTTCATATGAAATAATACGAAGGAACAAGCATGAAAATGTTTCTTGTACGATAACAGAATGAACAATTTTCATTTATTAATCAGTACAGTATTCATTTGTAAAAAATCAAGCAACCAAGACCACACATGCTTAGAAATGAAAGAACATATTGCAGTACAATATATTACATCATTTCTGAAGTTGTATTCTGTCTTACGAGAATTTGAGTAACCTATTCATTTTCAATGTGAGACTAGCATTGCAAAAATAAAGTGGACGATCATTCGTTCGATATTCTCATTGTGCGTGCGAGGCTTTACACTTGCCTCTCAGAGCTATTTACAGGGCTCAAGTATTGTTTAGAAACAAAGGTTATCAGCGGACCAATATCTTCTATCGCAAAGAAGGTGCTGGACCGCGCAAGGACAAGCATTCACACATCGGCATTTTGAAATCGTGGGCAGAATCACGACAGTTTTGCCCACTATTTCAAAACGCTCTACTAAAATGACAAATCGCAGAACTGCATATTCATGTGCCATTCATTTCAGCCTCTAGGCGCCAGTGGTACACAAATATGTGGCCTCTCAGGGGGTGGGCCCTGACACTGGGAGGCCGCATGTTTGCGTATCAGATGTAAGCAAACTTGCTGAGAGCGCGCGCACTGCCAGCATAGTTACCGGTGCCTAACAGAACTTGCGATTGGGAGCTTTCTGATCATGTGATATCTGTGACAGCCAGTCACATGATCATAAACCTCACCTTCCATCCCGGCATTACAAACTCCTTAATGGGCTGGGAAGCCCAGTAAATCAAAGACGAATTCTCCTGCGCTCTAGGACTCAGACAGGTGGCGAATAGATGGAACCAGGCCTGGAGAAATCGTCCACCAATGCATAAAGGGCTGTGCGGCTCCAAAACAATGCTGGGGAAGCCCGATCAATACTGCAGAATGAAATGAAAACGAGAAGCGCACCAACCTTGCGCATTACCTCAGTAACCAAAATGTATTAATTGTAAAAAATATACTCACAAACAGCGAATGAAATCAGGCATGCAAGTCCTCACAGGGACTTGAAGATAGCGTGAGTCCCATCAAGGGAATGGGTGTTCAGTATAGCTGACGCGTTTTGAAGGGGGTCCCTTCTTCATCAGAGCCACTGCCAAGGGGTTAATGGCACCTGAAAACGTGGTGCGGTTCTGCCATGATTGTCACAAAATAAATCAGGACAAAGCGCATCGCCCAAAACAAGTTCAGTAACTTCTTTTGGGCGACATGCTTCCCTTAATGCAGTTTTCTGCAATTGCAGCGAGATTTATCGTGCCAGAACCTCCGCACTTTTACAGGTCCCATTAAAATGAATGGCACCCGTACCTGCAATTTGGTGATTTGTAATTTTATCAGAGCATTTTGAAATTGTGGGCAGGATCGCCATGATTCTGCCCGTGATTCAAAATGCCCTTGTGTGAATGCCATCTAATAGTTGATATCAATCATGCATGCTTTTTAAAGCTGGATCCTTTTTGAAGTAACCAAAAACAAGACAGGAGCTTTCCACTCATCAGTGAACAAGATAAAAAAAAAGGAGGAAAGGCAGAGAAAGCAATGAATGGCTACACTTGAGCCGAGCCCGCTGCTACAGTACTTACAATTGCATCCTAGAGAATCCCGTGCCATCTTGTAAGCCCAGTTCACCTCGTGTCTCCGTTGCATCCATGTCACATACAATGCATCCAGAAAGTATTCACAGAGCTTAACTTTTGCCACATTTTGTTATGTTACAGCCTTATTCCAAAAATGGATTAAATTCATTTTTTTTCTCAACATTCTACAAACAATACCCCATAATGACAACATGAAAGAAGTTTTTGTTTTGAAATATTTGCAATTTATTAAAAATAAAAAATTTAAAAATCCAGATGTACATAAGTATTCACAGCTTTTGCTCAATACTTTGTTAAAGCAACTTTCAGTAGAAACTGACCCGTCTGTGACAGGGACCTTCTCCCCTGTGACAGTGCCTGAGCAATAGTCACATCATCTAGAGAGTGATGTCACCGTTTCCCTAGGTCACTGACACAACTGATTTCAACACTAACTCCAGAGAAGAAATGAGTGGCGAGGGAGAGCAGAAAAGTTGGCTATATTGGGGTTTGGGATGCCCTTTGCAGAGACACTGCTAGTTTGCTCTTCATGGGCAAGGTAACCGTGTTTCTTTAAAATATATCCAAAACCAAGATTATTTTAGGTTTTTTTTTTGTTTTTTTCCATTTTGAAGTAGGGAAGGGTTAGAACATGTGCCAAGTTTTTACTGCTGTCTGTCTCCCCGCTAAATGAGATTTGCCCTTTCTGTTTGGTCTGATACCTACTGCTTTTGGTCCAAAAGTTAGAGAAATTCCAGAATTATGAGTTTTCATGAGAAAAAACAACAGAGAAATCTTTTAATGGGGGGACACATTTTCCAATGACAACTGTATAAGAGAAGGTTTCCCTTTCTTTGAAGAGATCTTCTCTCACCCCAGTTGTCTCGAGACAGAAAGTTAAGGACTAAAGGCAAAACTTTTTTATTTTTTTATTTTAAAGGTTATAACTCTTGTCAGGATTTTTTGCCATTTGTGGGTAGATTTCCCTTTACTTAGTGTCTCATAGCCAAAACAGAAAGTGGTAGGAAATTCATCCAAAGGGAGGGGAGTCCCTTGTTGTCCAAAGGACAAGTAGAGGGTGAATGCAGAGAGACATACCGGAGATCAATTCCAGTAATTGCCCCCCTGCTGTGCCGATCACCCTCCATGCCCACATCCGATTCACCCCCTGCTGGCCTAGGTCCCGTACAGGATTGCTGGTACCCCCTTATCCACTGCCCTGCTCAATAGTCTGTAATGTCTCAATCTGGAGCACTAAGTGTCATTTCTGTCCACTGCTTTGTTCCTCTGCTATCAGCATGAGTCACTTCTGACAGGTTTTCCTGACACCAAGAGAAAAATGGTGACGGGGAGGGACGTCCAACTGATTGACAGTCTCAGCTCTGTTCCTGGGTGCTGAGTGAAAAGGGGTGTGTCTCTTCCATCCAATCAGCACTCAGAGATCTCACTAATGTATCTTCAGCTCTCCGCCCCCTGCTTTTCTGAGCTGAGGTCCTGTGTAATTTCTACACTTTGAATGGATGTAGAGCACAGACGGCTATAGATAGTCAGGTACAACTTATATAGGAGGATTTGTTCCATTTCTGTGTAACACCTGAGGCCAGTCACTTCATGTAAGGGTTTACAACCACTTAAATGTCTCTTGAGAACACACACAGCTCTGTAGATTCTTTTAAACACCAATTCATAGAGTAAATGGTCTACGTTTTATTATATGACAGTGCACTTCAATAGAGATCCCATGTGTACTAATATGTACATACTTGCTTAGTACAATGGGACCATTTATGCTAGGTTCACACTATGAATCACACAGGAATGCGCACCACATTCCTGTGCAATTCACATGCGAATTGGTTTAGTGCGGTTTGAGCACGTTCATTTTGATTGGGCTCAGATCGCACCGCAGTGCACCAAAGAAGCGCATGCACTGCTTTTGGAAATGCACTCCATTGGATTGCATGGTTCTTTCCTACCAAGCGATCCGGCGCAGGCAATTGCACTGTGTTTGCGACCTGCTTTTGTGGTGTCATTTGGGGCACTGACTGAATGAAGTGTGGGAAACATGCACAGATCATGTATTTCCCACACTGCATTCTAGTGTGAACCAGTGCTTAAATAAACACAACAACATGGATCATGAATTCCTGTGTGATTTTAGCACACCTGGATGGAAAATCCCTATTCTCAATTTTCCTCCTTTACTTTGCTTAAAGTGAAATGAAAGCCTTGCACTGAATCATTGCTGGCACACAGACATTTACTGCAAGAGACTCTGCCCCCTTCCTCCCAGCTTTGTATGGAGTTTCAGTTAGAGAAAGCCATTCTAACAGTGGGCAGCTATTGCTGGGTTGTCTTATTAGAAACCCATAAAATGCTCTGTGATAGACACACTCTGCTTTAAAGCAACATTCCCATCACAGAACATACAAATAATGGCTTCTGCAAATGAAGAGGTATATTACTTACCGCTCTGACGGGTGGGGAGTCCTAACTTTACTCTCCTCAAGTTATGGCAGCTGAAGAATCCTCAGTATCCGATACACTTTCAGGTATTTCGGTGATGCTTGGTCCCTTTCAATCTTCATATCTTTTGGCATATATGTATTTCAACTGTGTATGTATCTGTTTGCCTGCTTGTTGTGATTAAAGAATGCAAGACAATAAATAAGTTTCAATCATTGTGCAGCACTACTAAGAAGTGAACAAAGCCTGTGTATGTAATGGGCAAATATGGCTGCCCCCAGTTACATTTATAACTATGCACAAAATCAAGGTTTTTCAAACATTCGGTTTACATTGATCAGGGTAGCTTTACTGTGCAAAAAAATGTATTTTGTCTAATTCCTGAAATTAGTTCAACGTAATATTACTGTAATCCAATACAAAGTGTATTCTCATTCCCAGAAACTATTGGATACTGCTTGTAGGAGGAAATATTTGAATACATTTGTCATGGAGCAGACAGAGCAAATGGACAAATAATTTGCAGACGATTTTTGTGAATACATCAGATCTCAGAGAGCCGTGTCTAGCAAAAGCGTGTAGCCTGGCTAGAATATGCATTGCATGTTACATGGCAGAGTGTTCTAATTCTCTGTAAATTCTTGCCATTGCACAAAAAGATTCAAGACCTGTTCACACCAAAATGCTGTGCGGGAAACCTGCTTTCCGTGTGAATTTCCTGCACTAAGTTTAGAACACACTGTACTTGCAGTCTGCAGTGGGTGTCAATGCAATGCTAACGACACCCAAAATGCAGGCCGCAAATTAAGTGCATTTGCCTGCAGCGGATCACATGGTACAGAGGTACCACATCAGGTTGTCAGGTTGCAGAGCATTTTTTTAAAGTAGTATGTGCACTAGTTTTGGTGCGGTGCAGTGGAATGAATGAACAGGCTGAAGACGCACTGTACTCAAATCGCACAGGAACACGCTTGCATTCCATTGCATGTGCAATTTGAATGCAGTGCAGTTTCAGCCTGTTCATTTGAATGGCCTGAAATTGCACTTCACTGCACCAAAAGTAATGCATGCACTACTTCAAAAAAAAAGAAAAAACAAATTTACTGCAACCGGATTGTATGGTACTTCTGTAGCATGCAATCCGGTGCAGGCAAGGCACTGTGTTTGTGACCTGCATTGGAGGTGTCATTAACATTGCATTGACACCCACTGCAGATCACAAGGGCAGTGTGTTTGGAATTCTGTGTGGGAAACGAGCACGAAACGCTGGTTTCCCGCACCATGTTCTGGTGTAAACTGACTCTGAAGCAAGTTCGCCTGCAAAGTGTCTGACCTGGCGCACTGTGAATGGCAAATGGACTCACTTGTGTGTAGTCCCGGGTCTAAATAATATTATGTGCTTTCATTTAGGTGGACAGTGACAAGCTGAGAACGTTGACAGAGGGACTGGAAGCTTATAATCGTGTGCAAAAGGGCAACAGAAAGTAAGGAGCGTTTGTTTTATTTTACTCCATTATTATATAGATTTTAGTATTTATATACTGTTCTTAAAGTGTCACTAAAGGCAAAACTTTTTTTTTTTTTTTTGTAGTTTTGGATAGAGTGAAGAGGAATTGGAACTTAGGTCAGGTTTTTATTGCTGTCTGTTCCCCCATTAGGCAGAGTCACAGTCTCTATTTTTTCCTGTTTACTGTTATCATCGAAAGTAAAAGAGAATTCAAAATTTCAAGTTGACATCAGAACAGGAATAGAGGGAAAATCATCCAATGGGGACACTATTTCTGGTGAGCCTGGTGACACCCCAGGATTCCCTCACTTTGGAGGGATTTCCTCTCATTTCCTGTTTTTAGCTATGCAACAGAAAGTGAAGGAAAATCTCTATAAAGGGACACAGATGCCAAGAAAACTGACCGAGATTATAATCCTCCCTTGCTCTATCGGAAATGGGGGAAAAAATGCCTTTAGTGACACTTTAAAGCTGAACCTTACTCAACTTCACTGTAAGGGCTTATTCACACCATATATGCATGAAAACTGATTGAAACTGATGTGCAGATTTCACTTGCAAAGACATCAGTTTTCATGCACGATCCAATGAGTTTTATACCTGTTGCAGATTTCTGCGCAGAAAAAAAATCTGCAGGTGATACTAGTGTTGTGGTGTGGCAACTTGCAGAACACATGCAGAAAAACTGACGTCTCTGCAGCATGGTGTGAAGTCTTATGGTACATGTTTAAGTAACTGTTGTATTTCATATTATAGAAGTGGAACACTAAATAACCATCTAGAAGCTGCGATACATGAGGCCATGAATGAGCTGGACAAAATATCTGGCAATGTAAGTTGTATGAGACCCTCCCAACATTTGAAGGACAAGTAAACTTTCCTCATGACTTTCATCCCCACAATAGACAGTGTGCTGCCAAAATGTAAATACACTGTGTGCACAATTGTTAGGCAAGTTGTATTTTTGAGGATTCATTTCATTATTGAACAACTACAGCGCTCTCGCTCAATCCGATATGTTAAAAAAACCTCTAACCTGAATATTTAAGAAAGTAAAAATTAGGTTTTGGCTTTCTTAGGAGAATATCTCTGTGCAGAAATGTTGGGCAACTATTGTGCAGAATTATTATGCAACTACATGAAAAACGAAAATTTCCCATCTCACTTGTTTTTTTTCACCTGTTAAAGTGAGAATAATAGACAAAACAAAAAATTTACAAATAAACATTTCTGACATTAAAAAAAAAAAAAAAGTCAGTTACCAATAACAGTTTTCAATAACAGTCATAAGCCTTCCATTCATGGAGTCTGTCAGTTTCTTGATCTATTGATGATCAACTTTTTGTGCAGCAGCAACCACAGCTTCCCAGACACTGTTCAGTGAGGTGTACTTTTTTCCTTCACTGTAAATCTTCCATTTAAGAAGGCCCACAAGTTCTCTATAGAGTTTAGGTCAGGTGAGAAAGGGGGCCATGTCATTATTTGTTCATCTTTAAGGCCTTTAATGGCTAGCCTCGCAGTGGAGTACTTCAATGCATGCGATGGAGCATTGTCCTGCATAAATATCATGGTCTTCTTGAAAGATATAGACTTTTTTCCTGTACCACTGCTTGAAGAAAGTGTGTTCTAAAACCTGCCAGTAGGTTTGGGAGTTAAATTTGAGTCCATCTTCAACCCGAAAAGATCCAACTAGCTCATCTTTAATAATACCAGCCCCCCACCTCCACCTTACTGGTGTTTGAGTGGAGCTCTGTCCCTGTTACTGGTCCAGCCACAGGCCCATCCATCTGGTCCGTCAAGAGTCCCTCTCCTGTCATCATTCCTTAAAACCTTGGAAAAATCTGTCTTCAGATATTTCTTGGCCCAGTCTTGACGTTTCAACTTGACGTCTTGACGTTTCCTCTTCTGTCCAATTTGAATTGCCTATTTTATATTACAGGTTTACTTTAAGCTCTTCCTAATACATGTTTTGGTTGTGTAAGTACAGTACAGATTGTGTCTACAGACATATTTGCGGTTGAGTCAGTACAGTACTGACTGTGTCACTGTGGACATGTTTCTGATTGCAACAGCATGGCACTTATTGCATCTTTGCAGATTTATGGTTAAGTCACCAAGGACCTGCTTGTATCACCGTGGACATGTTTCCATTTGAATTAGTATGGTACGTATTGTGCCTTAGTGGACACATTTCTGGTTAAAGCAGGTGATAGAATTTTGGAAAGGACTTAGGAAAATTCTTAATAAAATTTTTAGCACATTTAAATTCAGTTCAAAAGATTTTGTTTGCTTTTAACATTTGATTTTGGAATGGATGGACTTTACTGAACGAAAATCGTATACATTGTTCATTTTGCAAAGAACGTTCCATTCTGCTTCTTTGGATGTTCTCATCTTGATGGAAAACAAACGTCGATTTGACCGAAGAATGATTGGAAAAACTAATAAACTTTCTTAGAACCTTCTTTTTCTAAGAATTGTCATTGAAAATTCTACCCATCTATGGCCAGCTTAAACTGGTTGTAAAGGCTGAAGGTTTTTTACCTTCATGTATTCTATTCATGAAGGTAAAAAACCTTCTCTGTGCAGCTCCCTGGCAAGGCCCCCCTATTACTTACCTGAGACGTAGCTCGATCCAGCGATGTGCACAAAAACAGCAGCTCTCCTGGCTCTCTCCCTGCTTATTGACCATTGGCTCCCGCTGCTGTCAGTCACAGCCAGTGAGGAGGCGGGACTCAGGTGCAAGCACTCACTAGTGCCCCCATAGCAAGCGGCTTGCTCCAGGGGCACTCAGCAGGAGGAAGGGGCCAGGAGTACAACAGAAAACAGCAGGAATGGGGCTGCTCTGTGCAAAACTAGTGCACAGAGCAGGCAAGTATTGTTATTTTTAAAAATGGACGCATCTCTGGTTCAGTCAGTACAGTACTGATTTATGTCTGTTCGAACAGGTCTCTCATAGTTTCAGTATGGTTCTGATTGTGTCTCTTTGGACATGTCCTCAGTATGGTTTGATTGTGTCTCTGTGGACATGCCTCAGTATGGTTCTGATTGTGTCTCTGTGGACATGTTTCAGTATGGTTCTGATTTGTGTCTCTGTGGACATGTTTCAGTATGGTTCTGATTGTGTCTCTGTGGACATGTTTCAGTATGGTTCTGATTGTGTCTCTGTGGACATGTTTCAGTATGGTTCTGATTGTGTCTCTGGACATGTTTCAGTACGGTTCGGATTGTGTCTCTGTGGACATGTTTCAGTACGGTTCGGATTGTGTCTCTGTGGACATGTCTCAGTACGGTTTGGATTGTGTCTCTGTGGACGTGTCTCAGTACGGTTTGGATTGTGTCTCTGTGGACATGTCTCAGTACGGTTTGGATTGTGTCTCTGTGGACATGTCTCAGTACGGTTTGGATTGTGTCTCTGTGGACATGTTTCAGTATGGTTCTGATTGTGTCTCTGTGGACATGTTTCAGTACGGTTCTGATTGTGTCTCTGTGGACATGTTTCAGTATGGTTCTGATTTGTGTCTCTGTGGACATGTTTCAGTATGGTTCTGATTGCGGCTCTGTGGACATGTTTCAGTATGGTTCTGATTGCGGCTCTGTGGACATGTTTCAGTACGGTTCTGATTGTGTCTCTGTGGACATGTCTCAGTATGGTTCTGATTTGTGTCTCTGTGGACATGTTTCAGTATGGTTCTGATTGTGTCTCTGTGGACATGTTTCAGTATGGTTCTGATTGTGTCTCTGTGGACATGTTTCAGTATGGTTCTGATTGTGTCTCTGTGGACATGTTTCAGTATGGTTCTGATTGCGTCTCTGTGGACATGTTTCAGTATGGTTCTGATTGCGTCTCTGTGGACATGTTTCAGTATGGTTCTGATTGCGTCTCTGTGGACATGTTTCAGTATGGTTCTGATTGCGTCTCTGTGGACATGTTTCAGTATGGTTCTGATTGCGTCTCTGTGGACATGTCTCAGTATGATTCTGATTATTTTGCTGCTAACATGTCCACGGTTACACAGTGAACCGATGGGTGACACAGGAAGGTGCAGTAGTAAATAACAATGTTAAAATCCCAGCTCTGCAGCATGGCGATGAATGTGTAAATAGCATGACTGGCTGAATAGGGCTAGAAATACCTTGACAAGTAACCTACAAATATTTTAAGTGTGTTTAAAGTTTTGCTTGGAGTTTCACTTGTATGACGTGTTTGTGTTCAATACTGTTTCTAATCTGGTATTTCCTGTATACTATAGGTGTCTCAGAGGGATCGACAGCTGAAGGACCCAAAACCCAAGAGGAGGAAGATCTCCAGATAACATTGAAAGAGCTCAAGATCATATATCTGTATATAGGCATTGATATTAATATATGTATATCAATATTTCTAGATATCACCACCTGGTGTAAAGTGAATATGTGGTAAATATTTTTGCATTTTAGGCAGGTGGGTACTGGAATCCTAAAAAAAAAAAACAAAAAATGTGACTGAACGGAGATGTTTTTTTTTTTTTTGTTTTGTTTTTTTTTTCTATAACACTACAATTGTGATTACAAAGAATAATAGTCAACTGTTTCTGATACATTTTCAGTGTGTATATAAAAAAAGATATAGAGTTTGATGCCGATAACTGAGATGTACATAGTGTACAATATTGTCATGTACAAGCTGACTTAATGCACACTTTATCTTTTACTGTACAATAATAGTGTACAAAAATTCTTTGGTTTCTATCAAGTGGATGTTCGAGCGGTGTATAGAGATGAAAAATAACTGCTTTTATACCATAATGTCAGAGATGACAGAAAGGGGGCGCTCCACATTTCTGATCATTCTCTTCCCTGGGAAGCCCCTTTCTCCCCTTTCAGGTACCTGTAGGTGAGTGAAGTCTTATAATAATGATTGATTGCATGTCCACTGCTTATCTAAACAACCACAGTTATTTCAATTTTTTTTCCTTTGTCTCTGCGAGGACTGGTGGTTAGTCCAGGCAATGGTTGTCATACTCTATTTACCTTTTAATTTCTGAACCCTCTTCTTCAACCGTTTAATACCCAGAGGTCATTGATGCCCAAGCCACATTTAGCACCATCACCATGCATCTGTTTACTTGACTACACTTCCCACCTAAAAAATAATCTTTTTAAGGACATTTTAAAGATGTCATTTGAAATAAACCCTGCTTTGTTTTTGGGCTGGTTTACACCATACCCATATCTGAATCGCAAAGAAATGCATTGCTATTGGAATTTGTAGCAGGTGTCAGTAAAAATTTAACAACACCCCAAATGCAGGTCACATACACAGTGAGTTATCCCAGCCTGCCTGCACCGGATCATATGGTACTTTTGTAGCATGTGATCCGGTTACAGTGCATTTAAAAAGAAGTGCATGCACTACTTTTGGCGCAGTGCGATTTTAGCCCATTCAAAATGATTGGGCTTGAAATCACTCCACACAGATCTGCATGTGAATTGCACAGGAACGCACAGTGTTAGTGTTAGCTGGAGTTTGGCTTCAGTTTGTTATTGTGTTTATATATGCTGGTACATTGAACGCTCCCCTCCCCAGACTGTCCATACTGCTGTGCCTCCTGTGCTCATTCCTCCACAGTGGTGTTTCACTAATACAGAAGGTGTGTTAATGGCCAGATCACCACATGAAAACGGTAAAATCTAAAGAAAAGAAATCTGATACAGCCATATTTAATGATTGGTAAGCTGCAATATATTGCATTTTGGGTTAAATGCCGCTTTAATTGCCAATCACTTAGGGTTTTGCACCCATTTTAATTGGAAAACCTCTTAGGAGTGAAGCTTTCTTCTGACAGAGAATAGTGACCCTCCTCGGGGAATAAAATGAAAATAAATTGTTAGAGGTCACATCTGATTTGCCTGATCTGCAACATTCTCAAATATCAATGGAAGGCTCTTATGTGTTTATGGAACTTTTCTAACCAAATTCATATCACACTTTATGGAAAATACAAAAGTTTCATACTGTAGGAATATCAGCACATTCCCTCCCCCACCCCATTGCACACAAATACCTGTTGAATCGCGCCCATATTTTGTACCGCTAACTCCTCCCCCTTTGCTGACTTTCTACTTCTGCCGACACAAGCTCAGTCCTCACAGAGGCAAAGAAGAGACATTTCTTAGCTGCATAATTTTTCTCCAGTTTAACACTGAAATGAATACACGGCACTACAATATATTATTAAGGTAGGGAATCTAAGGAGAATATGAATTTCATTCCCAGCCTTGAAAATTCCTTGGAAATTCTTTTTTTTTTTTTTTAATTGCACCTGTTTTCAGCCTGGCCAACCTGCCATTGATTAACTAAAAAATTCTTTCCACAAGCTAAATGAGCTTTTTTTATGTTAGAAGCAGAGCCGCCGCTGATGCTCCAGGGGGCGCCATCTCCCTGGATTTCACTGGTAAACTTATATTGCTAATTTCAAGGACACTACAAACTATGTATTGTCTGCAAAGCCTGACCAAGGAAGCATGCATCTCCGTTATCTCATCGAGCAGTATTAACACGTCACAAGCTGCCGTGATAGACTCACAACATGCAGCATCTTTTCTTTCTTTTCCTTTTTTTTTTTGTCAGTATTATGTAACATATCACAGATTTATTTTATTTAAGAAAAAGTATTTATACTGTTAACAGATTATATATTAATGTGGCTGAAACACGCAAGTTATTTTATTAACCAAATTATTTATGTTACGTAAAGTGAAAATGTGAAGCTAGAGAAAAAAAAAACACTACGTACAGACATGAGCCGACAACGTTGTATTGTAAGGAAAGGTTCACTCGAACATTTGACACATGTATATTCCGATTACGTATGTGGATATACCTCTGTCTTCTCCGGTCCCGATGATTGCAAAAATAAATAATAATTTAAAAAAAAACCAATTGACGTAAATGCCATCATCTAGTTTGTACGAAGCCTGCGCCAAGTGGAGGAAGCCATGTTGCTTGCCTATTCAGTGCTAATTAGACTACAGCCCTGGTGACATCACTTTAAATGTAACTTTACCTTTAAATGACAAAAAGGGATATTTGCAGTTTAGACATCCAATGGTCTATAATGTAAATGCACCTTTTTTTGTAAATGGTATAGTATGTCTTATTTACACATTAGAAAAATGTATACAGATTTTTTTTTTTTTAATTTTTATCTAGTTCTGTCTTCAGTACACAGCTCCTGCAGCTTCCCTAATACATTTCTTGGAATTTTTATAGGAAAAACTTTTTAGTTTGATTATATAAAGCGGGAAGAATTACCCCCTCTGTCAGCTCTTTATTGTTGTCTGTGTCCGTTTGGGAGGGTTACCTTGTTAGTCAGATCATCCACAAAGCACCTTAGGGGGCCCCAAGTGTAGGGGTCTGAACTCACAACTTTCATGCTGCTGCAATAGGAGAAACAGGAGAGGCTAGAACTGTAGGCAGTTTGTGCCTGATTGGATGTGCTATACCTGTATGGACAATGCAAATAGGGAAGCTTCTTTGTGTCTTTTGCAGACCTTTTCAATGTCATCCCTTTTCAAATCTCAGCCGGTTCAGCAGGGACCAGCTGAGATTCGAATCATGTATGGGCAGGCTGAATGTACCCAAATTGATCAATTGATCAACCCAGCCTGTCAGATTTTACATACAGTTATTGCTAGCTATTGTAGCTGCTAGCAGTAATCACTGTGTTCTCCCAGAGGGGACGGCTCCCCCCACCACCCTGGTTTCACAGGAGAGATTCCCGCATCAACACTGACGGGTTGCAGGAAAGAAAATCGCTCCGTTTATGGTCAGCTTAAAGTTGGCTGTACACTAACTGATCCTCGCCCACCAGGACATTCTTTGTTTTCTTTCAGCAGCACCTGCAGCTGTCAGAATAAAATGATCAGCAGCTGCAGCTCTGATCACCAGAGTGCTGGGCATCAACCAATCAGAATTGCTCTGATCCGCCCCGAAAGCCCAACAGAAAGAAGGGTGGGGATTTCAAATCTCTGGACCGCTTCACTAGCTGTGTGGGCACTGACAGCTCATCACCCACGGAGGTAAGTACAGCAGAGACCAGGGGGGTGAAGAGTGTTAGTTTACTTTTTCATTTTTTTTTTTTTTTTTTTTGAAAAGGTGAATTAACCCCCTAAAGTTATCCATACACGTTTAATTACTCCATCTAGGCTAAAAAGCATGGATGAAGGCATCTCCCTTGCTGGCTATTGTATTGTGAAAGCTGTTACCTGTGGCTGTCAAATAGCTGAACAGTGACGGTGCAGATTGGATGCAGCCAGTGTTTAGCCAAGAATTTTTCACCCATTGAGCAGGAATCAGCCACAATTCAAGCCATGTATGGCAGGATTAAGGAGTGGGAGGAGAAAAAAAAGCTGCTACCTTACCTAGGAATTCATTCTCCCTAAAATGGTCATAACGCCTAAACATTTTTTCCCTTTAAGGCATTCCCTGCATTAAGGTAAACAAAATGTTTCAGTATGTATATCGCCCCCTCACTCAACCCCCCCCCCAATACTTACCTGAGCCTGGCCCCAATCCAGCGCTGTGCCTGAGAGCAGCAGCTCTCTCTTCTTCCACTTGCTCTCACAGGCTTTGCTTAGAGCAGAGGGAGCCATTGACTCATGCTGCTGTCAGTCAAATCCAGTGAGGGAGGAGCGGGACCAAGCCTTGCTGTCTGTGTCCATCGACCCAGGCAGTGAGGCTTGGGAGCGAACCCGCAAGTGTGCCGCAATAGGAAGTGGTTTCCTGTGGTGGCACACTGAGAAGAGGAGGCGGCGGGAGCTCCAACAGGGGATCTGAGAAGAGGAGGATCAGGGCTGTTCTGTGCAATACCACTGCACAGAGCAGGTAAGTATAATATATTTATTATTTTAGTTTCCTTTCTCATTGACTGTGGTCCCTGACACATAAAGCGAGGGGCTTTTCTCCAAAAGGGACACAGACCGCAATAGAAACACAACGTTTTAGTAAAGTAGGAGAGGAGTAAAACCTGTGTAAAGGTATTGTTGCCTGCCTTCTTGCTAAGGAGATTGAACTCGCTCCCTGTCCCAATGATGATGGTCACCAGTGCAGGAAATGTTCCCAGTCGGGACGTGGAAAGTAGAAATTTATTGGAAACTAAACTAAAAAGATTTTGCTTACAGGTACATTCTAAGAGCCTGAGATGTAACCTCAGTAAGAAAAGGAGAAGTCGGGTGCTTAGTCACCCCTGCCAAAGGTTCTTCAGCAAGAAATCCAGTACATCCTGCATGTGTTCTTATCTGAAACTTGCTGTAGATAGATCTTTTACCCATA